GCTTCATATGCCTCTACTCTGCGCATTCTCTTCTGCTATACGACTATGTATACAGTGAAAAATGTAGACTGCAGCTAGATGCCGAAGAATTCGTACACATTGACTTAATCAGATTGGGTGGGAACGATGTATTACTTGTCTGTTCGAGAGACAGTAAATCGATCGATCTTTGGGGATTTTATGATGGTGTACCGAAAAAAAAATATCCATTCGAGCGATTCGATGAGTGCATCGTGGAATGTTCTACTCTTATTACATACTCAGGCACGTTGATCAAAATTACGCTTAAAAATGGTCGAATTCACTATCTACACTCAAACAAAGGGAGCTTTCAGACTGTTGCAACATTGAACAAAAAGCCAGGAAAACAAAGCATTCTTCTCAATTTTACCACTGATGTTTACTATTCTGAAGGACATTCATATATTGATCTCTATCATTTTAACGGTGCTGCGAGTTCTGAGAGCAATCCATTTCAAAGAATCAGCAATTTACCTCATGTTGGTAACCGTTGCAGTCGTATTTCATGTCGCAAAACATCTTCTATGCAGAACATCGACGATGCACTTATATGGTTTACTTCAAAGTATGCAGTTATTGTCGATTTTTACTGCAGTCACATTGTTATTCCTGGTGAATATACCGGCATTTGTGAGATTCATGTATCATTATATGATTTCAGCAATCTTTTTGGTAACTTTATCTGTTGTCTTAAAAAAGATAAGACAGGAATCAATATTTTTGAGTGGCGATGTGATAAAGGTGTGCATATGTATCGTCTACTCGCTTTTCTGGAGCTGGACCAGAAAATATTTAATTGTGTGTGCAGTATAGGTATGTTTCGTCTTGATAATTATACTTGAAGATGGTTTCATTATTGCAGATTGGTACAGCGGCATTGCTGTCTACTGCGCACTGGAGGATGGCGAACTGCGAAGATATAATGCTACAATGATGGCTTCTTTGCCTGATAGACCAGCTCCTTTTTCAAAAAGTCCAATACTTAAAGAACAAATAAGTCATTTGCAAATCCAAGATAAAATTTTATTGACGCTTGATGAGTCCAAACGGTAAGCAATGTTGACGGTCAAACTATTAGTTGCCAACAAATATCTTCTATATTCTAGCACTTTAAAGCTATTCACATTTTCAAATTGTATCTCTTTCCTCATGAAACTTTGCATCTCAAATGGAATCTCTCAATATGCTGTCGTCTCATCATATGTACTTGTCATGGACTCTGAGGATACACTTTGCATATACTCAATTTGCACTACACCAGAGCTCCTCTTTAAAACGACTAAATTTCAACATAATTTCTTCAGAGTACATTCTTCTGGATCGTCCTTCCTCATTATTGATAGCAATATGCGACAACTTTTGCATATCGATACCAAACTACCTCTCACGCTAAACAATGTCGCCGATCTTAAAATCACGTGTCGCTCTTTGTTGAGCGCAACAGTACCTGAACGATCGATATTGTACATCTTATCTGATGATCAATCTACATTAACTATTTGGGATTCGGAGAAGAATACTATCAAATATCACCTGATTCATCTCGAGAAAACTATCAAAGTTCAAAAACTGTATGCTCTGTCATCTGCTCTTGTCTTTCACGACAGCGATCAGAGAGTTCATTTATGGTACATCGACGCCGACAAGGCAACAATCACTCTAGAAAGAACCAATCATCTCGAGGTAAAAAGCACTCGTCTCGTCCTGTTTCATCAAACTGTGAAAAAATTGATCATCTACGATGTGGACAAGAAATTGTGCGGCAAAATTCAAGTAGAATCACCATGTGATGCATTTTGCTTTACAACAGATGAAAAATATCTATTTGTAATATCCCACGATGAGTCCATGTTACAGATGTATGAAGTCGATACTGGCAAAATGTTGGAGAAACTATTCATCGAAAACATGTCACCACTCATACAAGCTACAAATGATCATCTCTTTCTATTTTGTAACAACAAACTCCTTTTGATGTCAATTACTGGAAGATCTTCGTTGAATCGGTTAGAGAGCATTCATTTTTTTAACTCTGTCCATTGATTATTGTTTCAGAGATACTAAAGTTTCACCGGCAATGTGCCCCTTGTTCGAAGAGCAATATTGGTTGTGGACTCACAAAGATAAGCCTTGGACGGTAACTAGCTATGCTCATCTTAACTGAAACCAGAAGATAAGTATAGAATCATTTCACGAAATTCAGCATGCCCATACAGAAAACTATGATCCCGGTATCTGAGAAATAACTCACCTGTTTTTCAGTCCTATGTACTACAATTTACTTTGAACCTTCGAAAATGAGAAATTTTTTGAACTTAACTTACATCGAGGGTTTCTCAAGGGGGAAACAGTGAATACCATGGGATCTCTTGGATTCTTATAAAATCCCACAACATCGTGTGAAATCGCATCGGTGATCGTGAAGTTCTTTGGAGTTGAATAAGATTAGATGAAACTCCTGAGTATTTATAATTTCGTTCACTAACATAATTTCACCAACTTTGACGGAAATTTAGGCTATATTGTTCACTGGGGCTAAGATCTGTTTTGAAACCATAGTATGATGAACAGTCTAACATGAACAAAGTTTAATTAAGTGTGGAGCTTGATGTTTTTGGAAGGATTCAATTTCCTGCAGTTTTAAATCACTGTAAAAGACCTTTGATTAACTGCAAGCATTAATTTCTCGTGGAATTGTGTAACAATTGTTATACCCCCAAACTGCTGTATTTGATGTCTCTAACAGCACATAAATACAGCCAAATGACGGGGGCTGGTTTGCAATGGAATTGGCCGTATTTAAAAAACATTTCTTTCGTACATCATTTGATAAAATATCAGCTCCTCTCTTAGTAGTTTACTTTCCACTTTCATAATTCAGTTGACAGAACATCGAACGCTGAACAATATACAAAACATCACGATAAAGTAAATGTTTTGTGGACTTCAACTCCCAATACTGTCTCAGTCCTATAGCTAAGTACATTACAGTTGATCTTCATTGCCTACTATCTCCATCATTCCACACAGACCCAGTGCCATTTTTCAGCATAAGTAGCATCCATTAACAGCTGCTCAACTATAAAAAAAAAGCATATTTGAACAATGCTGCCCTCACTATTTTCTGAGGGACATACTTCTGAGATTCTATGAAACGTGTATCTCATATGATCTTAGACATATATGATTTTCCCTATTTTGGACAGTACCACAACTGCTTTTCGGGTATCACTAGTATTCACTAAGAAGACGAGATTTGCAAAGAAAACAATTCAATGGAAGCTACGAAGTATGTTTTTAGAGGAACTATTTTTGGACATAAATCAAACCGACCACGACCGTAATTACTATAGATCGAATAGTTAATCAGTTTGTACAGACTGATGATGAATAGTAGTGCTATCGAAAGCCAATTGTAATGTTAGAACAATAGTGATGTAATGATAGTCGTATATAACAGTAGAATACCCTTCATAGGTGTGCCCAGACTTTTAAGAGGATGTTTTCTTGAGTTAGTTTGCACATTGTTATTTTTCTCATGATAATGCGCCTATACCGTAACCTCATATATCGCTTCAGAATTAATCTTAATTAAATACTGCATTAATGGGGCTTAAAACGAGTAAAAACAAAGAAAGGGGCAATTTTGATTCTTTACAGAGAGGACTAGTCTACAAATCAATTCCCTGAGGTTTCAGCGTACCCAGGCTGATGTAAACCGGTCTTTTAGACAGGCTCGAAACTATTTTTTGTAATTTGATTGTATGAAAATGACTCATCATAGGATCTGTCAGTGACTATAAGAGAGATTTTAAGGTTACCTAAGGCTACTTTCCAGCTAGAATATGATTTACAAATGAAATACCGAGCACGCAATAGTTAATAACAAAACCGTAGGCATAGAAGCAACAAAATAGTGCTTATTTACATCTTCCTTTTAAAATTCACATTGAATCTGCTAAACAATTGCCTCCGGTTCTGTGCTTGCGGAACACGGAAGATCATCTATATGTCTAACATTGGACAGGAATATTTAAGATTCCTCTACAGGAAAAATTAAAACATTCATTTTTACTAGAAAATATCTAGTCAAAGTTGAAGTTTTAAGTTGTACTAGGAAAATTTAAAAATCCCTTGAATATTAATTTCTCCTGTAACATGCATAAATAAATAATTATATATATATATATATATGATGGGTACACAAAATAACATTTTAAGAGAAAAGCAAATACTCTATAATATTTTGATGATGCTGAGATATATAAGACATTTTAATTTTATTCGGTTTGGTTCGAAATAAAACACGAACCGATCCGATCACCGGTAGTGATCCTAAAAAGCATAGTAAGGTGACTGCCATCGTAATTGCGGCGTAATTGAAGCATAATCGGACACATGAGTGATCAGTTGTTTGAAGATTAGTATATCAGATTGAACATGGCCAGTACCGGTAAATGGACTATTGTTATTTCAGATTTTATTATCAACCAATGTAAGAGGGATTAGGGACGAAAATATCATTGAAATTATTCTCCAATAAAACATTTAGCCTTGGAAAAGGTTCCAGAAAACGATAGTTCAAGAGTGGAAAATAGTGAAAAAAGAAACGATTCACAAACAGTTTTACTGTAAAGTTACGTGTCCAACTTTTTGTGATTAAAGGTAACTTTCGAAATTGAATGCTATGGAAACTGAAGTGTAGTTCTCCAAAAGAGACATAAAAGTTAACATATTTTTAATTCATGGGCACAAAATTATGAATGATTGGACAGAAAAAATGCAGTTTCATGCTGTGTTAATGAGAGGAATGAAATATTTACAGTGACAAAATTTAGAATGTATAAAAGGAGTCTACGCAATGATCTCGATAGATAACCCAAACATACAAGAGTTTCCGAAAACTCTTGTCTGCTTGGCAAGTTTTAGACAGTTGTAAACCAAGAATTATGAACAATTTTCTCTGTCATATATAGATCATGGCCTCTGAAACCCTACCCTCTCTCGAATCATCAGGAGTGAAACGAGCTCTTCTCATTGGCATTAACACATACAAAAAAGGAAGCCAACTTCAATATTGCATCAATAATGCTCAGAATTGCGGCACCAAACTGCGCGATGTTGGCTTTCACGTTACTATTGGTATTGACATGAATTATGAAGAAATGTGCACAATGATTGAAGATTGGGTGTGCAAAATTTGCCCGGGCGATCAGGCCCTAGCATTCTTTTCGGGTCATGGAACACACTTTGATGATCAAAATTTTCTTATTCCAGTCGACAATGATCAACTTACGAGTCCTACAATGTTTGAACTTCGTTCTATAAATGTTCATGCCACTCTCGAAAAGATGATGGCTCGCCATCCATCGGCAGCCATATTTCTGCTAGACTGTTGCTTTAGCTACGTTATACCAAATGAAGCTGGGTCAAAAGGTGTTTTCGATTGTGGTGGTTTATCTAGCATGATAGAAGTCGACGACTCTCTCGTTGTCTTTGCGTGCGATGCAAATAAGACGATACCCGACAGGTCAACGAACAACCAAAATAGTATTTTCACAGCTCATCTACTGGAACACATTGCGAAACCGAATCTGACCATCGAAGAAATTATGAATCTAGTCTGTAGCGGTGTTATGAACGAGACTAACGGTGATCAATGTCCTTATCAAGCAAGTTCCCTCTACAGGCGAAAAATCGACTTGAACCATCGAAACGACACTGGTAAGTCTCTACTTCCAAAGAGAAAATAAGAAAAAAATATCACACTTCGTTGACTTACTGCGAAAGTTGTCGTATATCGCATAAGTAAAACAGTTCTCTTAGTGCCCAGAAGGACCTAGAAATTTGTTCAACAAGTTCACCAATGGTTTAATTATAGGATTCATCATACATTGGAGAAGGTATGAGTGTGTGGACATGAGTGTACACTAAAATAGAATCTGTCACCTATATCGGCTTAAGCGAGCGTATTGCGGTGTCGTTTCGGCTACACTGACTTCAAGTTTTCTCAGCAACAAAATTGCTTAAAAGTTAAGTTATTTCATGGAAAGTTGGGTCTTTAGATACTCTCTTCAACTCGATGATGAAAATCAGAAAAGTCAACACTGTTTTCTGCTATAAAGATCCTCTGAGTAATTAATTGCTATAAGCCAGGCCTCTCGTGCTTAGTGCCCACAGCAGTTTTTATCCATTTTGTATCAAGCGATGTAAGGCAACAGCACTGATATTTAGACCTGAAATTCTAAACTTACCCTTGAAAGTGACACGTTACGCGTTCAAGCCGATATATGTTGCGAACTATCTTGAGGGTGTGAGCATGTGAGTGTGAGTGTCGAAGTAAGAGCGTGTTTTCTCCGTAAATTTATACCCACATACACCGACCGCTATGCCAATGCCTGCACTCATCAACTCGTTTTTGATTGTCGACTAATCTTTACAACATTGATTCAAGAAGCTCGACAGTTTGAAGCGTGAAAAACATTGTTTATCTGATGAAAAGTTAGCACGACGTTAGCTGGTACGGTCCTAATCAGTTTTGGAAGCTTTTTTTCTGTCTTTAGAGATTACATGTTTATTGATGCCTCGAACTGTTTAATCGTTGCTTAGAACATTGAAAAATACAACAAACTCAATATGAAGGTCAAAAAATAGAGCATATCATCAATATTCAGTTCGGAACTTCTAGTCCTCTTGCTCCATGCATCGAATCTTGTGACCAGAAACGCCTCAGTAAAAGGTTGATCGAAAAAGGAATGAATCCAAATTTGCAACCTTTCAGAGTTCAGGAGTTAGTTTTTTCGTATTTCTAGACGAAGGCTCTTTTGTGGAACTCACATTTATATTCGAAGAAAATGGTGAGTGTAAGTTTAAAAGCGAGATTTTTGCGGCTCCCCATCCCTTACAGACACCACCTTGCATTGTAGATATTAGGAAGCATACAAAAACTAAATTAGGCGAAAAACCATATGTGAGTTCCACATTTTAGCCCCAAAGGGGGTGCGCTAACAAGCTTTTGAAACCATCGATTTATATTTTTCGCTAAACTAATTTCCCTAAACATCAGCAATCTGAAATAGTTTCATATACTTCTATTGAAAACGTATCTTGCTTCTATGTTAAACTAACCCGGAAAAACACTTATGTTTTTCTTTTTCTTTCTATCTAACATATTCATACTATCAACTTCTTTTGAAACTTCAAAGTTAACCGATCCAGCGAATGTCTTAAGAATCAAAAATATTACTTGCATAACAAATCACAATTCGTTAGAAGCTAAGGATTTTAGGTGTTCGTAAGTTATGAAAACGAGCACAAAGACCTTCATTTACAATTACTATAAAAAAAAATACATTTTTCGCATTTAGATATGTCAACATCTGTCGCATCTGCCAATTCGATAACAGCACCTCAACAGAGTTCTACTCAAATTGCTCACTACCGGCAAATACTTGAACAGCTTTGCAGTAGTGATAATTTTCGCGATGATGTTATTTCTAATAATGATGAATCTTGTCTTGTTCGTGGGGATGATTACTTTCCTCTTTATTTTGACCATTGTGTAAGTGCAGGTTATGATTTTAATGGTATTCGTATTATGCGTGGTAATTATCGTTATTATGTTATTGATCACGCTCGTTATTGTCTTAATATTGTTCGTACTTATCAACATAGAGATATATATTATTACATTGATATTGAAGATATTAATACAACTTTTCGTCGTTTTCGTATTTTGGGTGTTCTTCAACGTAATTTTAATGATGATGCTAATTACGATAAAGTTGCAGCTCTTGCAGCTTACGAGCAACTGACGAGGGATGAATCAAGACAAGAATAACTCAGAGGATCTGAGAATTTTGAAAACGACTTCAAGAAACGACGAAAACCACAATATATTTCATTCTCGTCTAATGATCTCATTAGATTGATGATAAAATTAACTGCATGTTTTTCTTACAGTCTAAAAGAATAAAAGTTCGTCCAAAACCAGCCAATAAAGCCGATTAGAAATTAGTAATCTTCTAAAGTCATGAGTTCGGATTGGATGGATGTGGGTGTGAGAACAAGGGTGACACCCGTACTCACACCCTCATGCAAACTTTGATCATGAGAAATTTATTCTTAAGTGAGTTCTTGGCCTGAATGAGGGTTATATCTGTTAATAACTTAACAAGCTCTACAAATTGATCTTACTAAAATTTAAAAAGCGATTGATCAGTTTTCAGTGTTCCCTCGTCAGCAATATACTTAAGCTCTAGATATATATGTTTCATAAATGCTTACAGAGGACATCAAGACGATGCTACTGCATAACATACTGCGTATCAAATCTTTCTCAACAAGAGTCTCTAAAAACGCTAATCGAAATTTTAAGACCACGAGCATTTCTTCTGTTTAGGGAAAAATTAACTCTTATTGCCTATGTTCTCGATTCTCTAGAGAATATCGTACTTCTTTTGTTCCGTGCAAACTTAGCGACATGAAAAATAGGATGAAACAGTACTGATGGTTAGTTTTAACTCATAAAAGTCGCTGTAAAACAGGATAGTGGCTAATCTATGATCGAAACTCATAAGTATTAAAATTAAGATCTTCAAATCTTCATTGTAACCATATCCGTGAATGTGTCATAAATTATTAATACTTTCAGTCAGTTCTCACTCACAGACATTTTTTATTCATGAAACTGTTTAAAAAGAACAAATTAAATTATAAGGAAAAAAAGAAAATGTCCGTGTGAATATTCAAAATAGTCTTTCAAAATATGGTGAAGCGTCATTGGTAATATTAGCATTGACAAAGCTATCTTTCGCCCATTGTGTGCCTCTCTCATCAGCAAGAACTACTTGTACTCTCTTGATGCGATCGTGTTGATGCTGCCATTGTTCATCCTTGAGATCAGGTAGTTCTTTATCATTTTCAAAAGCGCATGTAAAACAAATACGTATCACATTCGGACACAACGATAGCAGACCTTGTAGTGTTTTGGGATCGGTTGAGTGAACAATAATTGCTTTTATCATGTCGAGGCATAAGGTCAGTAAATAATTTTAGCTTTGATAAACGCCAAACAATTGTATGAATTGAGGGAAAAGTATGACGAATAAACACCACGGTATCCGTATTGACTCTAAATTTGATGTATTCAAATACTAAAGTATGCACTTTTGGTAAGAATAGAATATGAGGTGATGTAATGAATATATTTGGTGTGAGTAGTCTGAATACAGACTTTTCTGTAAATGATGGAACAGAACAGAGTACTCTTTCTTCGTATCGAAGTGCTGGTCTTTGAGTAAACGCGTCGATATGCGTTGACCAATTAAAATCTGCAGGAAGTTCGAAACTATCGTAGGCTATCCGATAATCGAATTTAATGTGGGCTGGTATCGTAATGATTTGATTAGGATCAACGATTGTGCAAGGTCTAATATTTAGTTTAATACTCTCAAGTGAGACTGGTGCTAACTGAAAAAGTTTGCTGAGTCGATCGAATGTAGCAATATTACCTTTGATTGAGACATTAAGTAGATGAGGTGGTGCCACAACCATAATGTGATCAACTTCTTGTTTATGTTTGTACTTCACATCGCTGTAGTGAATTCCATCGTCTATATCTTGCTCCATGGTGATTTCAAGGCTCACTAACTCTCAATCTCCATGAAATAATTTTGTAGGTGCGAAGTAGGAAAAAACCGACAATGTTTGACTAACAATCGAATTAAATGAATCATTCATCGAGTCATCATATAATCAAACATTTAACTTGATGATGCTAATTTGACGTTTTGTTATTATCTTGACCCATATTACTCTATCATTTTTTAACAGTCACAATAGTAGTCGTGAGCAAATGATTTGCTTTTCTTTTATTCATAATATTATATATTCGGTCGATGCGGTTGTAGGTGTGAGGTCTGATTCTGCATTTTTTTCTTTTCGTACGCCGACACCAACACCCACACTCACACCCAAGGGGGAAAAAGCGATTTATGAGTTTCATGATTTTTCTGAGTTTAGCTGATTTAAAATGAGTTTGAGAAAACGAAAAATTTGCTAAACTAACTAAAAACTATTCCAAATCATAAATTATTACTGAAAATCATTCAAAGGCACCGAAACTCACGCAAACTCATTCCAATACAGTTAATTTATATTGATTGTAAGTTGAGTTTTACTGTGATTTAAATCAGCTTTT